CAGTAAGAACAGCCAGATCCTTCGGTTTGGCTTCAAGTCCGTCTGCGGAAACACAATGGCCAAGATAGTCGACCTTGCGCCGTCCCCAGACACTCTTCGCCACGCTGATGGACAAATTCCACTCATCGCACACGTCCAAGAGCTTGTCTACCTCTCACACAGCTCGCCCCACGATCTCGCCGTCACAAGAATGTCATCAATATAAGATCGACGTCTAAGAACCGAGGACGTTTTGCTCCAATCGGGTTCCCCGTTTTCAAATACGTCGGTCTTGTCGGCACGATCTTGGTTATCCGTGATCTTGAGGAAACCGTATAGAGCGTTGTCTAGCAGTCGCTGGTAGATCTGAGGAGCGTTCTTGAGGCCAAACGGCATACGGTTCCACTCGAATAGTCCAAAAGGCGTGATAAACGCTGAGATCGCTCGAGCTCGATCTGTCATCGACACGACCCAAAAGCCGCTGGTCATGTCCAGCGAGCAGTACCATAGTGCCTTGTCGAGTCGAGATCGTCGAGCAGGTCGTTAATCAAAGGCATTGGATACACCATTAACCGCGTTAGGCTGTTCACCAGCCGATAGTCGATGCAGAGCCTGATGTCCACGCCGTTCTTCTTGATGATAACGACTATGGGGGAGGCCCAGGGCGATGACGAATGGCTGACGATCTTGGCGGATAGTAGACCCTTGATCAACAGGAACAGCTTCTCGCGAAACTGTGGGGCGACTTTTCGAACTCGCTGGGCAACGGGCTTGGCGTTTCCCACATCTATGTCGCATACGACCCCAACCGCAGCTGGCGGTAAGGCGTTACCCTTTCCGATCTGGAGGTGGCGACGCCGCCAGATGATTCGCCTCAATCTGTCGATTGCCTCTGGTGTGTTGTAATCTGGATCTTTTACTTGGATACCCTCGATCTTCACTTCTTCCGTCAATTCAGCGACGTCTGGAAGGACTGCCATGTTATCACTGACATCTTCTGCGTGGAGGTCGCCTCCTTCGCTGATACACACTTCCTCGTCCCCAAGATCAGGCGCTGCTCTACGATCTTGATTACGGGCCAAAAATGTCTCTGCCTCCATCTGACAATCTTGTCTAGCGCCTGTGCCTCTTCGTCGATCTTGCTCAACACACATTCGTCGATCTTGGTCATGACCTGTCTTCGCACGTCGATCTTGTCCGAAACTCGTATCTGCACGGCGATCTTGATTACTAATCCGAAGTGACCCCGTCTCGTCTTGATTACGAATCTGATTCGGGCCTGTCTCAGTAAGTCTGTCGCACATCTCTGTTGCACTGTCGCATCCCGTGGAAAATTCTTGATCACGGGATGGGGTGGACTCATCCCGCGTGTGACACACCGTGTCGTCAGTCACCCGGTCGACGAACGGCGACTGGCTTCGACTGGCTTCGTCGGTGTTCCTTCGATTGGCTTCGTTAGTGTTCTTCGCCGCCTTGTCGCACACCGTGACCGCGGATATAGTCTTGCTCACACCAGGTCGGGGTTTCGACGACTCGGCCGCCCTCGATCCGGGCGAGATCGCTGTTGGTCTGGGCAGGATCCTGGTCGGCGTGGCGTACGACGGTCGTTCTACAGCCGGCCCTGGTAGGTCTACCACCTCGGGCACGTCGTCAATCTCGTCCGCCGCAGCTTGGAACGCAAGATTCTGCCACTCCGCATAGCGTCTCGACCCGACCAGGACATATCCCGGTAAGCGCGGTACTCGACCTTCCGCTAACCACATTCC